TAGTATGTTTCAATGTGTGGTTTATGGTTGTTTAAAGCTGTCCAGTTTCAATGTGAGGTCAATGGCTGTTTAAAGCTGTCTAAATTTGTTCCAATATGATGTCTATGGTTGTTTAAAGCTGTCTAGTATGTTTCAATGTGTAGTTTATGGTTGTTTAAAGCTGTCTAGTATGTTTCAATGTGTGGTTTATGGTTGTTTAAAGCTGTCCAGTGTGTTTCAATGTGAGGTCAATGTAATGTGTTTCAATGTCTGGTTTATGATTGTTAAGTTGTCGAGTGTGTTTCAATGTGAGGTTTATGGTTGTTTAAAGCTGTCTAGTGTGTTTTAATGTGAGGTCAATGGCTGTTTAAAGCTGTTTAGTGTGTTTCAATGTGAGGTCTATGGTTGTTTAAAGCTGTCTAGTGTGTTTTAATGTGAGGTCTATGACTGTTAAAAGCTTTCAGCGTGAGGTCAATAGTTGTTTAAAGCTGTCCTGTTTCAATGTGAGGTAGCTGTCCAGTTTCTGTGTGAGATCTATGGTTGTTTAAAGCTGTCCAGTGTGTTTCAATGTGAGGTTTATGGTTTTTTAAAGCTGTCCAGTGTGTTACACCCCGAAAGTCCTGATTCGGCTCTAAATTATGGAATTTGAGTTGTAGGCATTTTTAGCTTCCTCAGCCTTTCCTACAACTATTTCATTGCATAAGAACCCCCAAAAACCATACTTTTTTCCCATACCGAGCATATTTGTCACCATTTCCTCAAAAAGTCAATTTTATTTTTCTTTATCGGCCGTTTTCTCAAAACGCGATGTTTCTCTATACTTTTTTGAATAATTCCACCATTTTTCATCCAATCCTTATGAAATTTGCAAGAATGAAGAGAAGATATGATACTAAAAATTCATTTGTTGAATTTTTGATATATATAATAGATTTTTGTTGAGGGTGTCTGGAGTGTGTATTTTCACGGGTTTTTTGGAAATTGAATACTACCTCAGAAAAAAAAAATCATTAAAAATTGTCTTATTCGTTCAGGAAAAAAAACAACAAACGAATTTTTAGCTGTAATGTTTGTTAACACGCAAGCAAAAAACCCCCAATCAATTTCCATGAACGATAAGTGCGGTATTCATTACGTAAGACATGTCAACAAAATCCAATATGGCCACCGTATCCATGGAGACGAAACTGTTTTCTCAGATTTGATTGCGGATTTTAAGAATCCTTACTATATGCTCGTTATATGTGTGACATTTGGTAAAATTTTGTCCTCTAATAAGCGAGATAGCCTTCAGGTGTAGCCCCCTCCCTTAATCCGGGTTGAGGCTATAATATAAATGTCATTTCTTCTTCTTCTTCTTCTTCTTCTTCTTCTTCTTCTTCTTCTTCTTCTTCTTCTTCTTCTTCTTCTTCTTCTTCTTCTTCTTCTTCTTCTTCTTCTTCTCCT